GGGGGGTGTCAAGTCAAAATTGGACAAAGGGGGGGGGGGTAAAAAATAGCAAAAAATTGGTGGACGTCTTTTATGGATGGCCCCTAAGATGCCTTACTAGCGTACATGTAACTAGTTTTATTTCCTGGTACAACGCAATCTAAACTAGTGATTCTCAAAGTGGGGCGGTGAAATAGTAAGTAGATCTGTGGGCGCTGGGACTTCCTACGAGACCGGTAGTGAACTATATCAGAAAAGATTTTTTAATTTAAAATTTTAGAAATTTGAAAAAAAAAAGATGAAAGGCTTTTATGATTATCGGCCTTGAAAAATACAAAATATAACTTTTTAATACACATGACTTCTTTTCAAACCTACACTGGAGTAATAATGAGTTCTCACTAAAACGAAATCTATCGCTATTATCCGTCGGGTCATTGATCTGGTGGCTAAAAACTAAATGTTCTTTGACTATCAAAATGATAAGAGTCAGGTTTAGAAGCATTTAGGTACTGGAAGTTTGTTTAACACAAATGTTCTCTATCAGAGCTGAGCCCAGAGACATCAAACACGTCAATGCTATTGCCAGAATTACTTGCAAATCTCTAGGAAATTAATTTACATTTACAGTTGCAGAAAGATGAAGTCGATCTTATTAAAAATCAAATAGAAATATATCCAATCTCGAATCTCAATGAACTCTGCTTAAGGTTGCTATTGGCCATGGTCAATTGTTGGACCTAAAATAGGAGGAGGGTAATCAGATGATAATCTTTAAATACCTTGCTACCATTTTAATATGATAGGTACATATGATACACTTGAGCGATTTTAAGACATTATTTAATTTAACTTTTTATAAAGGATGATAAATCCATTTCCAGAGCAAGATGTATTTGACAATTGGGAAATAATTATTCAGCTCAAAAATGATTTGAAGCCAAATCTTAAGAAATCTTCAGAAGAAGACATCCTAGACCGTTCAAAGTGGGGACAACGCGTCTTGTCGTATAATCATATCGCCTTTGGTGGTAGCTGTTTTTTTTTTTTTTTGCTTGACTCCAAGCAATGGCGTAGGAAGGGGGTGTGAAGGTGTGGATGACCCCATGTGGCATTTTTTTTTATTAAGGGGTGGCCTAAAAAGACAAACTGTGGGAGTTGTTTCGCGGAAGGGGGTGGCACCAACCCTAGCTACACCACTGACTCCATATGTCACGGGTCTCAAACTCGCGGCCCGCGGGCCATTTGCGGCCCGCAAGACGATATTTTGTGACAGCAAAGTTTAGTGTTAATGCGGCCAACGCGTCATCCCAATTCTCATATCTATAATGTGACCGCGACGGTTTCAGTCGAATCTCACTACTAGTCTTATTCTGCTATTATTGATTTTGTATAAGTTTGGACGTTAACTTCAGTGGTAAAAACCGTTTTAAAATGGGAATAAAAGTTTTTATTTTACAGCATTTTATGAGACAAATATGGACAAAGTGCAGTTTTGAGAAAAGTTAAAAAATTCAGTTAATGGGTAATGCACAACCATAATTGAGAACCACTAATCTAAACAGAACACTCTGTAGATTTTATTTAAAGGGGAGCAATTAGTCAATAGGTTGTTCTTTTTCCATACCAGGGTTTTTGTCCCTTTTGATGTGGTGCTAATATTCACTGACAGGGTCTTTTAAAGTAGTTTTGAAGAATCAATGAAATATGAAGTGCTAAATAAAGTGGACAATGTCGGGTGTGTGTGTGTGGAGGGGGGGAGGGTAGCGGGGTCATTGTAGACAGGGCGCAAGTTTTGCGAAGGAGTGGGGGTAGGGTTGCTCGACAGATGCTCAGACCGGCTGAAATAGAAATAAGTTACAGCAATTTTTGTTCCCTCCAAAAGCTTAGTTCTGACGTTCAACAGTCGTAGCCGGGTACCGTTTGTTACACCCGGTTCAGGTATTTTGAGAAAATACCCGGAGGGCCCGAGTCCGGGTGTTACACAAAAAAAATTAAAAGTTTACTTCTCATTTTTTTATGTTGTATTCCACCCAGTGGGGAGAAGTGAATCAAACAGTAGCGATCAAGAAGGCATCACAATTGGAGCGTTAAATGTAGCGTTTAGTCCCCTGAGGTTAAATAGTGTACCCTCAATTCCTTAACTTATGCCGATGCCAATGGCGGGCTCAGGTGGCTTATAGGGTGGAAAAGTGTTGGTGACAAGACGCACAACCTTGTTTGGTTGACTTTATGACGCAAAGGTATTTTTTTAAACGTCTCTTCATTTTCCAGGACCTAAGTCTGCATGCCATCGTGGAATGCCGCACCATTGAAATGAGCTTAATGGGGCATCCATATTTTCTTAACACGTGGTCGTCTTTTGTGTTGTAATTGGATTAAGGTTGAGCTTGGTGATCATGAGATGATAGTCTCTCCAACAGCCTGCACCACATACAGACTTGGTCACGCGCACCGCATTCAGACTTGGTTACACTCACCACATACAGACTTGGTTACACACTACACACACCACATACAGACTTGGTTGCACTCACGACATACAGACTAGGTTACAGTCACGACATACAGACTTGGTTACACACTACACACACCACATACAGACTTGGTTACACTCACGACATACAGACTTGGTTACACACTACACTCACCACATACAGACTTGGTTACACTCACGACATATAGACTTGGTTACACACTACACACACCACATACAGACTTGGTTACACTCACGACATACAGACTAGGTTACACTCACGACATACAGACTTGGTTACACACTACACACACCACATACAGACTTGGTTACACTCATGACATACAGACTTGGTTAAACGCACCACATCGAGACTTGGTTACACACCTGTCTCGAATGTCCTCTCTCCTGATGATGACATGCACCCCATACAGACTTGGTTACACACATGTCTCGAATGTCCTCTCACCTGATGACGTCATGGTCGATGAGATGTCAACTGTTTTGAGCGAGGATGTCCGATTACGCGTGGGAAGGTCAAGGTCAAAGGCTGTTTTAGGGGTCGTTCGTAAAGTACGTCACGCCAAAAATGACCTCTTTAGACCCCCTTCCCCCCCCCCTTTTACGAAGTGTCACAAATTA